AAGAAAAGCCTGATGTCACTTACAGTGATGTTGGTGGTTGTAAAGAGCAGATTGAAAAGCTGAGAGAGGTGGTCGAAACCCCTCTGCTTCATGTGAGTAACCTCCATATTGAAACCTTTATTATTTTTGAAGTATTCTGGTCATCTGTCAGCATCTGAAAAAGCAAGAAAAGACAGTGTAGCTGAACGTAAACAGTGGAGTGAAAGGAAGTCTGGTTTTAACAAGTGAAATACAGCTTAGCCCGCTTCATATTGCTCTTCATTGATGATTTTCTTAATTTGTATTTACACTTTGCTGCACATAATCTTTAATTTGCACATAACCCTGCCTTCTGTCTCCCACCGTTACAGCCTGAAAGATTTGTGAACCTTGGGATTGAGCCTCCCAAAGGAGTGCTGTTGTTTGGGCCACCTGGCACAGGCAAAACCCTCTGTGCCCGTGCTGTTGCCAACAGGACTGACGCCTGCTTCATCAGGGTGATTGGGTCTGAGCTGGTGCAGAAGTATGTGGGAGAGGTAAGAGCAAATACTTGAGGGAATGTGGAGGGATTTGCACATTTCCCTTACGGGGACCAGACACTGCAGTGGGGATGAGGGATGGATGGACTTGGATGCTGCAGATACAGGTGGGGGAGGAGTCATCAGACAAATCGCTGCAGGTCAGGCAATGGGGAAAGTACCTGAGGTTTGCTGTCACTGATGAAAGGGGTTTTGCAGTGCAGAGTTCAGTCTGTGGTTCACGAGGGATTCTGGGATTAGGATTCTGTTCCCAACTCTGCCACTTATTTTTCACTTGGCCGTGAAGTAAATTACTTCATCTGTACTTCTAAGTTCAAGAGCAGTAATTTTTCTCTCCTTTTTAAATTGCTTTAAGCATCCATTTTATGAATGTCCTATTATATATGTGAACAAATAAAAAGAGTTTTTTCATTGGAAACTTAGAAGTGTTTGGGAGCATGAAAAGTTTGATAGTTTTCCTTTAATGTGCCTCAAACCTCTAACAAAATCTTAATTTTTGCTTTCAGGGAGCTCGTATGGTTCGTGAACTCTTTGAAATGGCCAGAACTAAAAAAGCTTGTCTTATATTCTTTGATGAGATTGATGCCATTGGAGGTATGTTATTAGTGGCTATAGTTCTAATCCCATACGAGAGCTTCCAGGTTTTCTTTTCATTTTGTAGTTCTTTATCTGGAGTGCTGCATTTCAAGAAATGTGCTTGTAAACACTGTGTTAGCAGAACTACTCCCAGCACACCCCATGTCTAGGAAGCTGTCAGGAAGTGGTTTATACAGCCCCAAGGAGAAGCCATTTTTGCACATTTGGAACACCCAGATTATTTGAACTGTAGTGAAGAATCTCTGTATTATGTTCAGTATTGTTAACTGAAACCCCCTTCAGCTTCTGGCCTACACACCAAATCTTTATTACTGCCTGAACATTGAATTTTTTTCTCAAAGGAACTGCTTAGGTCCTTTGAAGTAGAACAGTTTTTACACAGACAAGAGAGGATTTTGGTTGAGGGGAGGCAAAACAAACAAACTACATTTATGAATTCCAGCAGCTTGGCCAGTTGTTACACAGGGAGGTACAGGCCCTTTGGTACGAAGGATGAAGATCCAACAGTTTATCTGACAGGTAGCAGCACTAACTCTTGGTTTGAAATGTGTTGTTTCCAGATAACCCCCTCACACCTTTTTAACTCATCACAAGTACTTGGGTACCATCTAAAATCATTTCCCTCACTGTGGAATTCCTGTGTCCCCTCTCCAGGTGCTCGTTTCGACGACGGGGCCGGGGGTGACAATGAGGTGCAGCGCACGATGCTGGAGCTGATCAACCAGCTGGATGGGTTTGACCCACGGGGCAACATCAAAGTGCTGATGGCCACAAACAGACCCGACACTCTGGACCCGGCGCTGATGAGGCCTGGCAGGCTGGACAGGAAGATTGAGTTCAGCTTGCCTGACCTGGAGGTGAGAACGCTCTTCCACAGCCAAGTGTGTTCTGATGCCAGAGAGTTTCTTCAGTTGGGCCTTTATTGTCTGGAAGTTCATGAGAGTTAACAAAAGCAGGACTCTTAACTGATGTGAAACCATTTGGAAATTTAGGGGATTAAAGATGTGCCAAAGGTTTTCCCACACTGCACAGATCCCACCCCTGGCTGAGAAGCCATGGGTGAACAGCTGTAATCACTGCTCAACAGATGTTCCTGCCTGAACAGATAAAAAACCCTATAACCAGATCCATGATACAGTTCAAAAGTTGGAATGTGTTTTATTTTGGCTCTTTTGAGAGAGATTACTTGAGGTATTTCCATGACTACAGCTATTTTTAAAGCTATTTTCCTAGATTTGTATCATGGAAACTTAAACATTCCAGTTCAGACATGGGAAACTATAGTTGGGCAGCAAATACAGGATGTATTTTCTATGTGCCCATGCTGTGGATGTGGACAGTTGCAGGCTGGAGTCATCATCTCTTTCATACCATGAACACCTCTGTCCTCCACCCTTTTTTCCAGGGGCGAACTCACATCTTCAAGATCCACGCTCGTTCCATGAGTGTTGAGAGAGACATCAGGTTTGAGCTGTTGGCTCGGCTGTGTCCCAACAGCACAGGTGAGCTGAATGTGTTCAGTTATTTAAACAATTCTCTGTGTGCTCTGTCTCCACTGTCAGTGTTGAATTGGTTTATCCCTTTCTTCCCAAGGTGCCGAGATCCGCAGTGTCTGCACGGAGGCAGGAATGTTTGCCATCCGAGCACGCCGGAAGATTGCAACGGAGAAGGATTTCTTGGAAGCAGTGAACAAAGTCATTAAATCCTATGCGAAATTCAGTGCTACCCCCCGCTACATGACCTACAACTAATGCAGGGAATGTTTTTCACGTTCCTCTTAAGCCTTCTGCGGAACACAAATACAAGTGTAGTAATCAATGTTTTGTTCTTGGAAGCCAGAAATAAATAGAGTATTCCAAAGAGCAGGTGTGTGTTCATTGCAAGTGTGTTCTACACCAGTGGAGTATTGCTGCTGCAGGGAAAAAAATCCCAAAGGGATTCTGGTAACACAACCTAAACCAGCGAGATAATTTTAAATCAGATACCTGGGCAGTGTTAGACATCCCAGGTTTGGATTTCTGGTCACCATTTACAACCCAAAATTTGTAATTTGAGCCATAGAGGTGTGAAGGACCCTTAAGTTTCTGGGTGTACTGAGAAATGTTTGTGTGATGCTCAGCACTGAGGTGTAGATGTGTCCCAAGAAACTCGGGAGCTGCCACTGGAAGGCACGTGTGGTGGTCTGAGTCATTGCCCAGCTTAGGGAGAACATGAAAGGACATTTTTTCTCTCCCCAAGAGAATGCTCTGGTACCATCACAGCTTGATTTTCTTCATCCCTTTTGATGAGATTCTTTGTTTCTTACAAAACAGTAAGAGAGCCAAGGAGGAAGAGGTAAGTGTAATTTCTTAGTGCTAAGGGCAGGAAGAGTGCTTTTCCCTGATCCTGCTCTAAAACACTTTGACATCAGTCCACTAGTGTGCACTTTGATGCATTGTATGACTTGTCTGAGATGCCTCTACACACAGAGGATGACCATGACAGACACCCAGTGCTCCATAGTTGGGCAGTGGCTGATAGTTGTTGGCAACAGGCCTTAAAAGGTTGATCGTCACTCATCTGACATGTTCCTGCAGAGCTGGGTGTGCCTTCATCTTCCTATTTTCAAGTGTTGCACTGAAGTGGTTTGGGGCATGGGGGAAGAGCTTGAAGAAATAACTGAGGAGAAAAATGTTTTTGGGAACTGCTTTGTCTTGAAAGTGAGAGTTTTATTTGGTCTCATTTTGATAAAACTGACATCAATTTAACAAGCTTAAATTGCGAAGCCACTTTTATTTTCTTTGAAGAGGAAGTGTGCGCAATAGGGAGGGAGTGTACACAGCACATGCACTGGGTTAGGATTTTGGGTGGTGTCAGTATCTTGAAAAAGCAAACTCAGGCAATGCTGAGTTTTTGCCCATGCCTGCTGAAGAGCTCATCTCAATGGTTATGTGTCCTTTTGGGAAGAATATGTTGGGGAGAGATGCTAGTTTATTGGTGGGACACAATGCTTTTCATTTTAAGCCCAAGAGGAAGGTGGTTAAGAGAGCAGCACTGAGAGTATCTCTTATTTACCAGGAACAGCACCCGAAGTCAAGTGTACCTTCTACTCAAGAAGGATAAGTGAAGTATGTAAAGAGAGTTTGGATCTTACAGGAATCCTAATTTATATCATCAGTACTCTTGCAAAAAAGGAGGGGGAGAGGAATATTACCCTTATTGTTAAGAGGCATCGAACCAGACTTGGGCTATGAAGTGACTTCTGCTGTGGTGGGGCTTCAGCAGCCAAGGGGTGGAGGCACTATCCTTTCCATGGAGACAAACTGGAGAAGGGAAGAAAGTGAGCCCTGTTACAGGTTTAAAGGACATGGGTTTGTTTAATCTAGCACTGACAAGCCTAAAGTGGGATTTAAACTTAGATAGCAGTCTGTTAATCAGTGCAGGAAAGGGGAAGTTAGTTCCCTTTCCAGGAGCTAGCTCAGGCTGGCAGCAGGAAGCAGTGCTTCAGCTGGTGGCAGCAAAGCACAGGAAGAGACTAAGCAAAAGCTGCCAGGTTTTGTTTTACCAGCACTGCTGGTGGGCTGCAGGAGCACTAGTTCACATGGGCTGCGATCTGGGACTTCCTTGGGCAAATGCTTCCTTGTCCAGCATTCCAGCAGCTCCCCGGGAAGTGCAGCTGTTGCTGCCAGGATGGGAGACACAGCATTAGTTGTATCCCACAGAGGCCGGGCGAGGAGAGGGTTTCATGGGGTGAGAGAGCCAGGAGGGTGAGGAGCAGGAACTGGCACAGCAGGGAAGACCTGCCTGGAGGTGGCAACTCCTCCTGGCCCACCCCTTGGCAACAGACACTTGTATCCAGGGGCCTCAGCTTGTCCCTCATACAGAGTCTCACCAAGACAAAGTGGAAAATTTTTACAAGTGACATCACTTTATTTTGGAAGTTGATAGGATTTCAATGTGAACTGAAGAGACTACGGAGTTAAAAACTGAAGCTGCGACAAGCTGAAAGTAGAAAAATATACTGTATGTAGATACAAAGGCTTGTTGAACTGGTTAACATTATAAAATGTACCAAAAGTTGTTTAAATAAGCACACACAATGTGTTAACATGCATGCACTTCATCCTCTGAACTCCAGCTAAGCAGCAATTTCTGATGCAGAAAGCTTCCTATCCCAATTGGCAGGGGAGTCTGAGGAAATAAAAAATCTTCCCTGACTTCCCTGATTCTTGGGAAACTTGGTTTACCTGAAGCAAGCCCTAATCACAACGGAGCCTGAAGCAAAATGAAAGTGTTACATTCTGTGATCAGAAGTGAGGAAGGTGTCTGAATTCCCTTAAGTACAGGGCCTGTGATTTGAGGGTGCCAAATGAAATGTCACTGGTGTCCCACTTCCCCTGAGCTGTCGAAATAAGCTGCAGAGAAACAGATTCCTACCTCTGCTGAGCTTCACAGTGGCTGTTGGGAGGGAAACACATTGAAGATTTCTTTCTTTTGTATGTTTTCCATTTTCATGGTTTTCATCTCACACCTGAAGTGAGGCAGTACCACAGCAGCCAGGCTGACAGAAAAAAACTCCCACACTACTGTTTCTTCTAAAAAACCCAAACATGTAACATTTTTGAGTTCTACTGAACTCTATTTCTCAAAGCACTTAAAAGCTGAGGCAGAAGCAGCTCTACTGGAAGATGGGCAAAAGAAAAGTACTTTTTTTTTTTTTGGACCACTGAGACTTTAGACCACGTCTACATTTTCATTCCAGCTTAAGAGGTTGCATCTAGGGCACCCGTTCTTAATTTAAATAGACTTCACTCCTGCCTCAAACCCGTTTTGTCTTCAAATTTTGAAGCTAAATTAATTTTAGCTTAAAATCAATTGTATTCTCTTCTAGAAAGTCTAACTAGGTTTTGGCAGTAAAAGTACCATATTGATAATGTAATAATTAAACAATGAGTTTCTGAGTCCATGTTCACTCATAGCAAAAATGAAGAGCTGAGTATAGTTGAGACAGGTTAGATCTTTAAAAAAAACCAAACAACTGTACCATCCAGGGTTAAAAACAGCAGCAGTTAAATGCCACCAGTGTGAATTCATTAATCCAGCTGGCAGATTATTATAAATTGTATGAATCTGTTGTATGCAGATGTTGACATCAGGTTTTAAAAGCCATCTAAAAAAGTTCTTCAAAGACACTGGTACAGTGTATTGCACTTGCAGACAGTTACTTCCTGCAAGATCCCACTTGCAGTGAGTTAAAGTGCCCATTTTCTCAACAGGAACAGTAATGTCACTTTGTCTACTAGATTTTGACTGCAGCTGAACACACTGAATTTTCTTTTCTTGCATAATTTTGTGCTTGTGTATTGTTGGAAGGCTATACCCTGATTAAAGGAAAACATTCAAGAGCATGAAGGCTTCCAATTCCTTATCCACTCTTCCTACAAAAAATAAGTTCCACCCTATACCCGTAGATACAAACAGCCTTAGGCTCTCTTCAAACTGTGCAAATTAAATATTCAGAAAGAGTTTCCATCAGCATAAATCTGTCTTCCATTCTGCTCGATGCCACTCTTCAGAGGTCAAAGTCAGTCTGTGAAAGCAGACCCATCTTTCACTTGGCAAGCAAGGACAGCATCATGAATACTGTGAAACAGCAACTCTCTTGTTACAGCCTTATCGAAAAAGTTCAGTCTTGTCAGCTCGTTCATAACAGGGCCTACAAAACAAAAACACAACACAACATCAGCAAATAAACCAAAGTGCAGAGATGGAAGGCAATGGCATCTCAGGAAGAAGATAACAAATTATTCTCTTACTTGCTGTTACTTAAAATATTTAAAATAGCCAGATGGATCCCATGCTACTTCTACTACAAAGAGGCAATTCTCTTATCCAGACATGCACAGAGGCATATTCTTGGCAGAACATGCTACAATTCCAAATATTGGAATCTTGGAACATTTCAGGCTTTTCTCCTTATTACATTACTACAACTTCAAGACACAAAGTTTAGTGTAGCATTTACAATTGGCCAGCTGGAAGAAATGGGAGCACGATCTAGTGCTCACAGTGTTCATTACATCAGTGCTCTACTTTCACTAAAGTGAAGGCTCTAATGCACAGGGACTTGCTTTTCCTCAAATCCAATTTTATGTGTAGTAAGTGCTGATTCTACTGAGGCACCTGGCACCAGAAAATCTGGGAGCAGAGAGAAAGAGATAAAACACAGTGTCTCTTATAAAACTCACAAAAAGAAAAAAAAACTCATCTCACCACTACAGCAGGCAATGCAGACACAGACACCAACTTCTTTGTATTCTTTTATAATCTGCAACAGAGTTAAACTGAAGTTAAATGCAGACATATCATCATACACATCACAGTTCTGGAAGCCAAATACTGAGAAAGTTGCACAGTCCACATTCCCCAGTATTCAGCTAAAACTTAAAGAATTAAAACAGTGATTAGGTGAACTACTGGATTGTATTTGAGTGGGCAGTCATGTCTCATGCTTACAGTTTCCCTATTAGGTATCTTAAAAGTTTTCTATGGGTTTTTCTGGGGAAAAAAGCCCTACTTACTGATTTTAGTGTTTTTGCTCCAACTGAATCCACAAAGTTCACCGGGGTGAAATCCAGAATTAAAGAGTGAATGTTGGTTTTGGTCTCCACAAAATGTTCATGCTCATCAGGAGACACGTCTTTTACACCAGAATCTGCAAATTTTCCATTCACGGGTAAGTCATCATTTGCTATCTCATGTTTTACATTTGCTTCTACGTCATTAGTCTGGGAGAGAGGATAAATAAAGCTTAATGACAGTAAGTGCTTCTTCAATGTAGATGCTCTTCCTCCCCAAACTTGGCTGTTCCTTAAGCCTTTAGAAGGTGTTCAGCTCCTAATCCCCACAGAAACTGGCTTTGCATGCACACGTACTTCCGCATCCTGCACATATCAAGGTTTATTCTCTCACACCCAGCCTTTCTACAGTCACACACAAGCAGCTTAAAGCTGTTATCTCAGGACTGAATTACCCATTTCCTTCAAACACTGACACCTGTTCATACATTTTTACTCCATTTCCTTGTCTTATCCCTGCTGATCCTGTCAAGCCCTATATATGCAAAAGAAACAAGAGCAATTGGGCTCTCAGGTTAGGCCTGGTTTTGGTTTCTCACTGTAAAAAGCACATGCCAGCTCCCACCACAGAGATGAGCTTAAACCTGCATAAAGGCACAAACATGTCCCAAACAACCCCTCTCAACCCCCTGCCCGCCCCACTTAGCCAAGCCAGGATCAGGAGGATGGCACCTTTTTATTACAGGGGCTGCTAATTTGAATTAATTTTATTATATCTTATTTCTATATGATCATTCCAAGTGCGTGGGGAGGGGCAGAGGGAGAGTCCCTCTGATTTCTGCCAACACCACTGCTGAGACAGCGTGACAGTGTAGAGAGGCTCTGTGCCACTGTGTGCTACCTCAGTGCAATCAAGGTCCAACACAATTATCCAATCCAGCCATGAGCCTCTGATCCTAGCGCTGTTCCTTCAGTGACCTGTCCCCACTGCACAGCACTTGCTCCCTAAGCCTTCCTCCTACCTGAGTAGCACTTTGCACCTTGTATAAACAAGAATGGTAACCCCAGAAAGCAGCATCTTCTCTGATAAAGCAGGTCAATATTTACTGAAGAACTCACTAGTTTCAACACAGCTTTCTTTCGGTGCTTATTTGCTGCCTTTATTTCCCTGGCATGTCGCTTCTGGGCTTTTCTCCTCGCTGCTAATATGGCACAAGGGTCCACTCCAGTCTGTCACGACAAGAAAGCACAATCCGAGGAGATTCAGCTTGTTGAGGACGACACTGCAGTATCAACTAGCACCGAATTAATCACTGTCATAAATTTAAAACACAAGCCTGCATTGTTCAGCTTCCCTTGGAAGGAGTAAGAGCAGTATAAAGTAAGAAGGAATAATCTTAGCAAGCACTGTGTTAACAAGATGAGGGAGAGACGCATCTCATTCTTTTCTTGAAATCAGAGAGTGCTGTGTTGCAACTGAATGCTGATTTGAGTGCAGAGAGCGAAGGGGAGAGAAGTGCATTTGGGCAGTAATCACTAATATCTCTTGTTTTGTGAGGGTCAGCACCACCCACCTGTTTTGTATAAGACTCATCATGGGAGCTACAGAAAAATTTTTCAGAAGTTAGTACAGGTGCAATTGCGAGTGGGTCAGGCAGTTCTGCCATTGCCACTCCCACCCACCCAAACCACTGGTTAGACAGAGATGAGGCATACTCTGTATGCAGGTAATTTGTTCCCCATGAGAGTCATTAAATGCCCACAGTATTCCACAGTCTTACACTCCAGTAAAGTTAGTCACTGAACAAGGAAGCTTTTATTCCCATTTTGCTTTCAGTTCAGCAACTAATTTCCTTCTGAAAAAAAAGATTTGACCAGTTTGTGCTCTGCAACCACCAGACTTTCCATTCATGAACAGTCAGTATTAAGCTACACTTTGTTTATTCCCTCCCACCATGTTGTTGCTTCCTAAGATAATTTGTATTTGGCTGGAGGGTCACCTTCTCATATATCACTGATCACCAGGGGCCACAGGCTGAGAAACATTGTGCTAGGGGCTACACAAAAGGAGCTGAGTGTGTTTCAGAAGCCAGTTTGAATTTTCAAGACACGGACATTAAAGAATTTGTTTTACTCACCTTTTTCTTCAGCGCACTTGCATATGACTCACTATTAGCAAAATAAAGTGATGTATTAGCTTGAAATATTTTTATTCCAGGATATTCTTTAACCTAAGGAAAATATTGGATGGGCACAGTTAAATATAAGAAAAGCACCTGTGTGATCACAAGACACACAAACATGCAGCAGAGCAACAGCCAACCCTGAATGTCTCTCAGCATATGTTACATAAAGAAGGTTGGCATTGTTGCAAGCAAAGCGAACCAGAAAATCAGAACCTCCCCCTTTCCCAGTGTAATACTGCACACAGTTAATGTCTGGTAACATTTCTCCTTCTTTATAACAACCATATGTACAGCCATAAAAAGGAATTAAATACTTGCAGTTCTCTGATGTTGCTATCCTGCAGCTGGTATTACCATGAGCAAATCATGCAGATCTAGGATTGTGTCCTTTTAGCCTCCCTTTCTACACGCATAATGACTTACTGCTTTCTCTCTTTTTCTTTCCTGACTCCTCAGGTACCAAGAAAACAACCTTTCAAATCTTTAGTTTTAGCCAGACCTTCAGACAGGTCATACTTTAAATGCAGTCATCTCCAAAGGAGCTGAACTCTGACATTTTACATGCAAATGACCCGGCCAGCAGCAGAGCCAGCCTGCCATATGCTGCCAACCCCATTCTTTACCCAGGAGGAGGAAATGCTGACTGCATTCAGTGTAAGAGAAAAGGAGTCTCCTCTCCTTTACAAACAGCTACAAACATGCCCAATATACTTCTGCTTTGCATCATTTTTAAAGCAGAACTGCTGATGAGAGAATGTTTTCAGATTACAGCATCATCTTTTCACACAGGCTTTTACAGACTGGTTCCACTGCAAAGGGGATGTACAGCCTTCATAGCAGCATCTCTGAGAACATGGCAGAGAGTGCAGAAAATTGTTTTTGCTGTTTGTGAATAAATAGAGCATGTTTATATCCATTACACTGACAAAATGTAATGTTTTCACCAACTTTTGGTTGAACAAGATGACATTTATAAGAAGCTATGTGCATGGTGAGCAGTTGTTCCATTAATTATGCATATTTAATGAGCAAGGGATGAGTGGAGGCAGGGTGATGCTGTTTTGAACAGTTTGTGCAATTCTGAATAATATACAAGTTTGGATGCTGTGTTCCATGGATTCCATGCAATATGGACACACAGGTAAAGAAGGTGGTCTGGTATGCACTTATCTACATAGCAGGTTTAAGCAGTGGTATTCCTATAAAGCTTACCATTTTGAACAAGCTAGTATGATGCAACTAGTAAAAAGTTACTTTTGATCACTTCCTGGTCAAATGTACATGCAGCACAAAGAGCTCATGTTTTGAACAAAACAGCTTTTACTACTAAAACCAAATTTATCTTTTTTCCCTTCAACACAGGTGAATGCTTGGCAGACAGCACTGTATGTGTAGTGTGGTAGGGCTAAGCAGCAAATTGCCACAGCTGCCTTTGCTCCACCACATTAAACTCCTCAATACAGAAGAACACACTCCTACCTCTTCGTACTCTTCCACATCACAGTAGATGTCAGTGTCAGGAATCTGTCCAAGGATTCTGTATTGAGGACTAGAGAGAAATGGAGACAAATGTTTCAGTATTATCAACTATAAAGAGGAAAAGTGAGTGTTTGATACAGATTGAAACTTATTTTAAATGGTCACTGTGCAGGGCCTGTCGGGTACAGGAGTATCTAAACACGGTCAAATGCAGTCACCAGTTTATGGTGGAACACAATAAGAAGAAAGTTTGCTTCTGTCAGTGCAAAAACAATTTTTAAACTTAGCACTGTAATGCTGTCATTTGTTGAAAAGCGAAGTACATTACTGTTTGCAAGAACAAAACTGTATAGAGATGGCAGAAAAATAATCTTATTCTGCAGAGTGAAAAATCTCACAATTTGCTTTCATTCCAATGCAGACCAAAACCAAGACTTTTATAGAATTTCCACCTAGATGTCCCAGACCTTGAGCCCAAAAGCCTCACATGACAGTCCAATTCACACATGCAAGAAATCATTTCACTGTAGACCTGGAAAGCTTCACAGTAAAAGCTTTGTCACTTTCAATGGGGAGAAGTGACTTGAAAAACTACAAGAACAGGCACAGTTTTTTTAATAAATTAGAACTTTCTTAAAAAATACCTAAATATTCATCTACTGATAACTGGACACAACTTCTGCTTGTCTATGACAAGTAGTGCACACAAAACATAATCAGGTACTGAAACTGGCAGCAAGCAGATTTAAATTTTCAAACTCTTAAGCATAAAAAAAAATAAACAAGAAGATTAACCAGTATAAGAAATCAAAAATCTTCTGTTTATTATTGAGAGTGCAAGTTCATGCCCTCAAGAAATTTTGTTCTCAGAAAAAGAAAATATGAATCCTGGATCAGAGCCAAAGGACATGACCTACATTAGGAAGTAAATTCTACACTGCATGAAGTTGAAGAGAGTGGAATGGACTTCTGTTTATTGGTACCCCTTAAAAAAACAAAAGCACACAGAGGATCAGCAAACACTAATTTTGATAAAGAAGAAATCTGACCTTTGTGTTCTGTAAATAACGGTTATCATTGCAAACGTTACTGCAGTAAGCAAACCATAGTCTAGTCCCAGGAAAAGAGAAGCCACAAAAGCTACCACCCAGATGGCCTAAAACAAAGAGAAGGTCTGAATTATTATGCATCCTTTCCTGTTAACAACAAAAACAATAGCATAATCCAACCTCAAAACCCACATATCACTTGTGTTCAGGAACAGGCTACAGTGTAATCCATCATGAGAGCAGACTGGAATTGCCTTAACCTTTCAGAAGGGCATAAAGGCTCAAGGTGCTCCAAAGTAACATCTGACAAACTGTCATATTAATGCCTTAACTCCTGTTCTCCAAGGAATCCTGTGCTACCATCAGACTCCAAATACCTCAGGATTAAAAAAATAAATATTCAAGGCCCACAAGTAGTGTCTCACTTAGTTTCATCAGTCCAGGAGAAAAATGCCACCAAAATGTTCCCTCCAATGCGCTCTTAATTCTGTCTCACTCCAGCCAGGTTTTTGGTTCACCTTAAAAGATGGCAAACACCCTCAAGTAGTTTTCTTTGTTACTCTGTTTTTCAGACTCTCCTCAGACATTCCCACAGCCTTCAGTGCAGTTCCTATAGCAACACTGCCAGAGCTTTGCTTTTACTGCAACCAAACTACTTCTGACCTGAGTTACAAGACTGTTGAACAACAAAAATATTCTTGTCTGCAACAGATCACTCTCCAGGGTACTTACAGCATCATGTCTTAATGTCATCTGCAAGGCAACACCAATTTGTAATTCCTTGATAAGTTTCTACCCTGTTTTGGGAGTAGCAACAAATGTAATGTAGTGGAATACAGGCACTGAGCTGTGCATTACTCACCAGTTCAATCTTACTGGTTCTCCAGAAGTGTGTGACATCTCCAAACTGTTTAAACATTCCTTTCAGGTTCACCATGACAATTGCTGCCAGCACTGTCTAAGAACAACACACAAATGCAATTTTCAGAAGCAATATAAACCCAATGACAAATAAGAACTTCAAAGTATCACAAATAACTGTATTTCTATGCTTTGTACAACTGATATAAGTCCACTGAACAGAAGTTCTATTTAAAAACCCACAACTTTTCAAACAGTTCAGTGGACATATGCTTTTACTGCAGCTGCAGAAATGGCAAACTAGTTCAGTACAGTTTGATTTACTCTTTCCCAGCAAGACAAATCACATATGCCTATGCTCCATGCTGCTACACTTATAGTGCCTGAAGCAGTAGACTGTAATCTCAGTTTCAAGTTTCTCTACAATATACTGAAACAACTGCAACAGTCACATAGGTGTAACTCAAGGTCCAACTTCTATAAAATGAAACAGGAATTGTGTACCATCCTTTGCACGTCACCAGAAACAAATTTTTTTTTTAAAGTCAGATTGTACTTATTCACATAAAAATATTTTTATACAAACAACTACAAGTGCAGCAAAACCAACTCATAATGCTGAACCCAGCACCAACCCTCTGCTGGCCAAGCTATTAGTTTTAAGTTTTTAACATCAATCTAGAGCTCCTATGCTGCAATCAAATGTGGCCAGCAGGACCAGGGCAGTGACCATCCCCCTGTACTTGGCACTGGTGAGGCTGCACCTCAAATTCCGTGTTGAGTTTTGGGCCCCTCATTACAAAAAAGACTTTGAGATGCTGGAGCGTGGCCAGAGAACAGCAATGGAGCTGGTGAAGAGTCTGGAGCACAAGTCTGATGAGGAGCAGCTGAGGGAGCTGGGGGTGTTTAGCCTGGAGAAAAGAAGGCTCAGGAGTGATATTATCGCTCTCTACAACTACCTGAAAGGAAGGTGTAGCAAGGTGAACTCTTTTCCCAAGTAAAAACTGACAGGATGAGAGGTTTAGACTGGATAAAAATTCTTCATGGAAATGGTTGTCAAGCATTGGAATAGGCTACCCAGGAAGTGGTTGAGTCACCATCCCTGAAGGTACTTAAAAGACATGTAGATATGCACTTGGGGACATGATTCAGTGGTGGACTTGGCAGTTCTGGGTTAACAGCTGGACTCAATGATCTTAAAGGTCTTTTCCAACCTAAACAATTTTAAAGGGGAATTGCTTGAAGGTATCATCTTTATCTCCTAAAGACAGAGTCCAGGGTATCCAATATTAAAAAAAAAAACCCCAAAAAAAAGCATGCTGGATCTTTCAAAACATTGTTTATTTCCAGGCTAACTTACAGCAAAAATGCATACAAAATTTAAAGGCTCTGGATCACAGGCTAAATATGTTGCTTATTAACCCTCCTAAAATCTCTAGTTTAAGCAATACTCATGGGACTCTGTTCACTGACAATGCAATGCCTAACATCCAAAACACCCTTACCTGTGGAAGAGGTTCAAAGAGGTATCCAACAGCCACAAGTACCAACAGAACCATAATTGAAGAGAGAGCACCTGCAATCTGAACAAAAGAAGCCAGAAATTATTTATAAGTGCCCTTAAGGGGCAATATTACTGATTAGCTATCCCTTGTGCTTTCAATAAGGCTGGTTGTTCAAATGACTTTTGATTCTCTCTCTCAGTTCACAGATTTTAGCTGTTTCTAGCTTTCTATCTTGGCCAAGTCTGGATTTGAAACGGGGGAAACTCCAGTTATTTATTCTGGCCCAGAAATACAGTTATCTAGCTAAGCTTCAGACTTTAGTTTTGGAGCTCCAGAAAGCAAACTTTGTTTTGCACAAAATTTGGGTTTAACATACCTGAGTTCTTCCACCAGTGCTTTCCTGAACAAGACTCCGAGACATTGAGCAGGTGACTGAAAAGGTTTGGAAAAACGACCCCACAGAATTGCATATTCCCAAGGCAATAAGTTCCTGTGTTCAACAATAGAGCAAAAAGAACTCAGAGGCAGTCATACCATGCAGCTGTACACAGCTGGAGCTATCAATACATATTAACAACCACATCTTATTTACAGTGCTTTCTAGCAACTTCATTGTTGAGAATAAGCAACCTAATTGCACCTTATACTTGTGGTTCTCACACACAGAAGTTGATGCATGTTAAATCATCTGTTAAATAAAATCTCTGATGAAATATGGGAGACATTTTCCATCCCTAAATGTTACAGGAATCAATCAGTCTGAAAACGAAAATGAATAACAGCATTGCTTGGTTTAAGGATTCCTTCAACGTGGGGAGAATTTGAAATTTAACCCTGAATATACATGGAAAATGGTTTCTCATGCAAAAACTATTCTTTGCTTCCCACCCTAAACTATGTGTTTAAGACCACAAGCAGCCTTGCTTATGTTTCCATGGTTGGTAATCCACTGCTCTACATGAAAAAATCCCAGCGTGTGTCCACTGCTTCATCAGGAAGATCTCACGTAAGAACTACTACCATGAGTAAGATCAGAGTTCCATCTACCTCAGCACTGTGTTTCTGATGCCTAAGAAATGATTTGCGTGTAACAAAGCCTCCCCAGGCTACTCTGCGTCTTATTATTTGTGACTGGTTTGCGTCATACATTTTCAATAGTTCTCAATCAGTTTTTCTCTTTGCATTTGAAAATCCTTTTTTGATTCATTTAAACACTTTGCATGCACTGCATACTGCGACAAGGAGTTCTACAGTTTAACACACAGGAGAAGCAGCATCTGGCACCTCCTGAGGAAAAGATCTAGATGCTTAACTCAGGTCAGTGATGATTACTTTAACATAAATAGAGCAGATTCCATTCATGCAGCCACAGATTTGTCCTCTTCTCTCTTTGGGTAACTGAGAATAAGGACATTAAGGATGAGATGCATCTGATCAGATGTAGAACTCTGCAGGTAAAAGTCATTTAAAGTCCATTTACTCTCAGTGGAAGACAGTAATTTTGAGAAGGGGGAAGAGCTGATCTGTGCTGCGTCAGATGTGTGCTCTAGGAAATGTGTTACAGCATATGAACTCTTTGTCTTCCTTGACACCACAATGGTATTGACCAATAATCCAACTGCAATATTTATTCTAAATTGCACAGGAAGGACAGAGTACGTGAGATATCATTTTAGATTTAGGGAGTCCCTAAATATAGTCCTTGTTACTCAAACCATGATCAGAACGCTAAGTAATGGACAGGGTCGATTGCTGCCCCAGAAAATGACAATTTGCCCATTTGCAATGGATAGGAATAAGAAGAAACTATAAAACTTCATTGGAATTTCTAAACCCTAGACAATAGTTCTTTGACACATAAGGCTCTGTATTTATCACATGGGAACTCCATGCTTTGTTCTGTTACAGACAGCAGAGAAAATGTCCAACAGGACAGTGAAGTCAAGTAATGTCTGTCCCAACAATTAATATCCATGCACATGTCCAAGTGTAACAGAAACAACTTTCCCAAAATGAAGCTAAAAGTGAAATTAGTTATTTAAACACAGTCAGAAGAACTTAAAATAATTACTGGCCTTTAAATGTGTAGGCCAAAAGCCTGACACAACTCCACCATTAAAAAAAAAAACAAAACAAAACATTTTTGCCATTATCCCACTCTACTTCAACTACGTCACAAAGGTGCTACTGAGAATTCCCAACAAAGCAACCTCACTGCTTTTACCTGATTCCCATCGATGGTGTAACCATGTTTAAGGGCAAAGATCTTGGCCATTGATACAGCCATTGAAAATCCAACTATTGCTATTGCTACTGCATCCACAAATATTGCTGGGATGAGCTGAATCTCGGGAACTGCTGGTGCACGTAACCTTGGAGATGAAATAAATGATTAGAAGTTAATATAATAAAAACTATATGTAATACAGAAAAGGTATAGTTTTGATAAGAATGTATCATCCCTACCCTTGAGGAATATTCCCAACAACATCAACTTTGTATGACTTATTCAGATTCATTCCAGCTGAAACTCCTGTGCCAATAATGACCTAAAAATCCACAAACACATGTAAACATTGTCTAAAGAGAAGTAAAGCCACCTGAAGAAATATGAAGGTTAGCTGATTATGAGTAACACATACAAGGGATTACATTTATTTGTCAATCAGTTTTTTAAGAGTTAGAGGCTAAAAAAGCATATAAAAAGGAGGAATCATCACGATTTTCCATCCATCACATCCAACTCATCCTGATTTTATAAAGTTTTTTTTGGAAACAGTTAAATGGAACATGCTATGGTATGATCTGAATCACTCGAATTCCCTTTGCCTGAGCCAAGCTCAGGCAGATTAGCATTTTGGAAAAATTAAATGCAAGGACATTCATGCCTGTGTGCACTGCCTTATTTTTATGTGCACAGCCTGCTATCTATAAAGAGAACTGATGCACCAGCAGAGAAAGGAACATGTCTAATATCACTGTGTTACTGCCTTACTATCAAGCAATACTCTATTACACCACCTCTCTCTTGTCTCACCAGCATCCCTTTTCTTTGTGCCTTCAGTTATTCCCTTTCTTGACTCCATTTTGTGCAGGTTGTTTGAGAGCTCTAGTTATCCAGGAACTAATTTTTAAATCCAATCCCTTTTAAAGGTGAAAGGTTGTCTGAGACATAGGCTTTATGTGTATTAAGATAGTCTGCTTTATCCATGTATTTTAGAATAGTTGTTTGAAACAGAATCAGTGCTGCAGTCAGTTACCAGTCTCAGAAGCAGGGAAAGGAAGGTTAAGTAGTAAGCCCTGCTGGTTCCTGTTCTTCTTTCTACTACTGCATTTCAAAAAGTGAGCAAGCCCTGCAGAACCTCTGAACAGGCATCTAGAAGCACCTTCCTTCAGGAGGGGTTTCTGAGCTCTTGGACTCCCAAGTGGGAAATGCTTCTCAGAGGTCTGTCTTTTAGAGACTCATTCAGGTGCCCAAACTCCTGGATAGAGAGGGTTTTACAACAAACATATCTACCTCATTGCCATAGAGGACTGTGGGTATTTCAACTGCTTTTCAGTTCTTCTTTGGGACTTTATGCCTACCATCTGGCCACGCCATCCTTAATTTTAAGAGTATCCAAACCTTCGACTGGATCAAGGCTCAAACGAATTATGTTCCACAGAAGTTACTCTCAAGCTCAGTAAGATATGACAGAACATGAGATAGTTTCCACGGCTTTAGAAAAGCTACATAATTTAGCCACAGAAGTTCACAACTGGCTTACCACAATGATCTCCATAGGAATAGGAACCGGGAGCTTCTTCTTAAACCGGTCATTGATTTCCTTGCCAATCAGCAACAGAACAATGCACGATGATCCAACAATCAAGGCAGCAATATTGGTCATTGTTATATTTGAAAGCACAGCAGCTATGCTCTGCAACACAACAGAAGCATCATAATTATTCCTAAGGAAATATAATCTTCATGGAGGTTTGCCACAAATGAGCAAATTACACAGCACTTTTGCCTTGGTTTTATTCTGCATTTATAACCACAGTGAACCAGTGCCTCACCAAAATTCCCATTGTTCCCACAAGACACAGAAGACCAGAGCATCTCAGTGAGAGAGATGTACTTGCAATCATTTACAACATCAGTCTTTTTGCACCCCCAGAGGGGGCAAAAATTTGGAGAAAAAACTATAAAGGAGGAAAAAGTCTCAGTCATGTCTCTTATCCTCAACATTTTCACACATATTTCACATTGGCAGCTACCTGAAAGCAATAAACGCAAACTCCTTTTAATACCTTAAAATATTCTTTGGCAAGTCACATCTACTTAGAGCTGCATAAACTGTTCTAAAACAATAAAGCTGCTGATACAACCACTGAGGTTACCATAACAATATGATTAAATAACAGTGATCCTGCAACACTGCTGAACTGGCCATTATTCCAAATACATTTTAATTGAAAACACTATTAAAAGGATGTTAGAAAAGAAGGCTTGCTGGTACACCCAAGCTGCTAGAGGGTAAATGATTCCCCATACCAATCACTCCTCCTTCTTCTCCTGCATTAAAACAAACAAATAAACAAACAAATAAATGACCTCTGAAGAAGTCTTTGAAAGAAGATGAACATACTCTTCTTTAAGCAGATGGAAAATCACAGCAGCTGTCAGGATATTACACATTCAAGATGTCCTGGTAGTATACGTCTTGAATGTAAATCTTTCCTCCTATTTGTTTGGCAATTAGTGTGTCTGGTTCTCAGATAAGTGAACTAAACAGCAAATTTTGGAATTAATCATTAATGCAGACTTGTTTCCAGAAGGTTTGTTATATCTGCACAAATATACCAAAAGATTTCCACAAAGTATTTTCTATAGCCTACATGTAGTGGAAATCCTAAAGCTGCATTATTGCTCAGCCATCAGTCTGCTCAAAGGCTTAGGTTTTCACAGACATCTCAGATCTTCCCTTCTCTTCCACTCAGGAGTGGAAAAGTTCTGAGAATCCTATTTCCTAGCTCTGCAAAACATGCCTGGTCTACAGTGAAGCACTTCAGTAGCACAATTTCCCCCAGTGTACAAGAGACTTACTTCAATGAACAATTATCTGTTCATATCATAAAACTACATTCAGCAGAATCCTAAAATCTGCCCATCTCAGATCGTGCTGATCTGTGAAGTCACACTTGAGTTGCACTTTCAGATATTCACATATTGCTATGGCACTTAAAGACTTCACACCCAGTTTTCAATACTGAAGCATTATTCTGTTTAGTGGCAATATAATAAAAAGACCAGGAACGAGCCTAAGTACTAGATCCAGACAAAGCAGAATTTGCATGTTTAGTAAATGTAGACACTCACATATACAACTGAGAGGGGTCCACTATATCTGCTAGTCTTGATGCCAAGGAAATATTTTAATTGAGAAGTAAAGACATGAACTGCAGCTGCAGTAGTAAATCCTCGCACCAGAGGCTCCGTTAGATAGATGGCCACAAATCCAAATCGAAGGAAACCTAAACACAACTAATGTAGAAGAGAAGTATTAGCCATGTGACTCCCATGTAGCCTGAACATCAACCCTAATATAGCACACAGGGCACAGGACACCACTTCTTTCCTCAATGCCCAAACCTGAACTTTTCTAAAGCCACAGTTCAGTAAGCAGCCATCAGTGCACAGAATCTTCCACGCCACTGGCAGGTGCAATGTGTGAAATGAGTAAACATATGTATTGGTTTATGGACAAACATATGTGCATTTAGGGACAGATTAGAGAACATCAGGTTAAGTTTTTCTGATGAGATAGGAAAAAAAGAAAGGGGAGAGGATCCTGTATTTTCCCAGCCCAGCAAGGTGCCAAAGCCCTGCCTCCAATGTATCCCTCCCCATTCCTGTTATGAGGCAGCCTGTGCTCCACACAGGGCAGTGCAGAAGCACAAGTCTATTGACAGGGGATCCACCATGATCCAGCAGTAGCAGCAGCACCTGAACTTGCCCTTACAGCAAACTGTGAGTACATACCTGGATAATTCCTGAAAGAAAGGCGACAGTCACGGCTACCTGCACCCTTTTGGTATCCCTAGCATCTGTAACATTAGTAGAATTATAGTCCAGAGAAATCATTTCATCGGGCACTTCTCTCACAGCAACACCACCAACCATCATACTAACCACAGCAAAGGTGCCTGAAATAAGAGGGAGAGGAAAATAATTAGCTAAAATCCTGGCAATTTCTTTTTTCTAAGGAGTGGTTCTTATTAAGAGATGTGTGGAATTAAACTAAAATAGAATTTTCTACCTAAATAATGTTCTTTTTAATCCCCAAATCTGCTCCAGTACTTAGCACCATTAAGGCTAGTTAGATGGTGAATACACACCTCTGCAGTAAGTAAATACCATCATTTTTTTTTCCATCTCAGTTTCTACTATGCAAATTAAAGATTCATCCTGGCCATACAGACAATTGATTGCAGCGATGAAATTATAGGTCAGGAGCTCACATTTCTAGATCTAATCTGATAAAAGATGCTCTTACATTCCTTTCCAATTGGAGCGGATAAATTAACAATAAAAAGTACTGCTTATGTTTGACACATTTGAGTTTCTCCTATTTGCTTAAATTTAAATTTATGGAAAATAACTACACTTTCTATTTCTCCAATTTTATTTTTTACAACTTTATTAAACACACACACACACACACACAGACTTTCAGCTATCCATACAGATATACCTATTGATATGTGCTTGGACGTTCCAAAAAAGGTATATAGAAAAACAGGATAAAATGAAGAATATAGGCCAAATACTGGGGGAACAGCTGCCAGCAAAGCATAGGCTAAACCTAGAAAACAGACACAAACATGTATGTTAAGCAAACAACATGAAGAAACCATGTGAAGCAAAGGGATTTAAGCCTATTATAACTGAACTCAATAGGAAATCTAGTGACTTGTCACAGGTTTAAAAAAACAGGAGGTCTTGCAGGGAATATTCTTTAATGAGCATAATACTCTAGGGTAGTGCCTAGAAACACGATGGGTTGAGTCAGGAAACCAAAGTCTCTAATTACAGGCACTGCAGGTGTGAGTGTTTGCGTGTACATCTGTGCACCTGGGCACTCACTGTTTTGCCTTTGTGGGAGAAAGTACTTCTTAACAGCCAACAAACAATTTTTGTTGCTTTTGTTTTCATCTGCCAAAGACTGTGATTAGAAACACCCAAATCCCCATAACCAGCAGGACGTGTTTGATTTTCTCCTCTTCTTCTGATCAGCCATGATGTTCATGGTAACCTATAACTGATTAAACACTTCCCTCCTCCCTCACCACAAAATGACTGGGATGACATAACAATTTGTTTCCAGAAAACATACTTCAAAATGTAAAACCATTTCTGACAATCTGTAAGGTCATAGAGATTATGCAGCCTGGTACCCTGGTACCCCTGTCAAAAATGAAGTCCTTTTTGTCATTAAGCCCTGCCCAGTTCCATGCAGTGGAAGTTCAATCCACACTGTTCCTATTTGCAGGGGGGACTGGCAAGCACAGCAACGGAACAACAGCTCTAAGGGACACCAGGGAGGGACACATGTGATATGACATGTGACTGTCCCAAGCAGTTCCAGCAAAATCCATAGTTCTACAAGCTTGTGTTAATGATAATTAAGACACCACAACAGAACAAATGGGCCTCAAGGAGAAAACCTTGTATCCTGGCCTGGCCTGGTTCTTCTGCACCTTCACAAATGCAGGCTGGTAAGACCTGAGGAAATTGTGTGCTCAGACTAGTCCAAGTTAGCACCAAAAGGCTCAATAGCCCAGTACAATTGCAAAAGGAAGCAAAGGTTCACCCACCATGGAGAGCCAGTGATACCCATAAACACCTCTCCCCATTAATTTAAATTGGGAGACAAAGCATCAGGTTAAAACAAAAGAACTAAACTAGGAAGGGATCTTCTGTCAGGATCCCTTGTGCAGGGATCCACATGTTCTTGTTCAGTGTAATAACTCATAGATAGGGCCTTGCTCATGCCCTAAGCAATGTCTGAGTCCTAGCCAAGAGTTCATATTCCTACTAGAACTGGACTGAGGGTACCATTTATTGTCTTGCACCAATGAGCTTTTCATTATGTACTTCTGAAACTCATCCCACATATATTCTCTGCCCCAAGGGCTACCCCCATGACAACAGTATCATCAAAACAGCCAGTACTGTAACAGCCTGGCCTTTAACATGATGCTGAACTTGACAGTACAAGTGACCAGATCTGAAAATCAGCGGTCTCAAAACTGGGAGGGTGGGTCCATGTGCAGTTCCTGATATGAATACTCTTTTATTCCTTTTCTTTCATTTGTACTGGCATTTTTAAAGGCTGTCAGTGCCAAGGAACTAAAAAAGATATTGACCTGATAAGAGGTCATGGCTTAAACACCGTGGTCACTGTAGTTCTGTCTGGAATAATTCCCAGTATTCTTTGAATTCATGCCTGCTTTAATTACATCCATTCCAGAAAAATAAAAGTTCAACTTTTGTCTTTTTAGAAAGGGAAAGATTAGGAGCAGTTTAAGGGCATGTTTGCAGTCATCAAATGAATAATGTTTACTTTAAAATAGAGTCACAAAATTAAGTATAAAGTTCACTGCTGACCACTTAAATTTTAGTGTCCTTATCTGGTCATGACCTAAATTTTGTTTCAGTATTCAACTGGTAATGTTTGTGTCTAGTAGATGACAGATTTCCCTGACAGTTAACCAGTTATCAGTTTAAGATAAGTTGATGCTTACATGCATGTAAAAAAAAATAACCTTAATTATAAAATTTACACAAAACCAGGAAGCTACAGAAATAAATGAACCACATAGACTAAGTTATTTCACTGTTTTACTGAGTTACCACCTACTAAAATCTAGGCTTCTTGGATTTACAGATTAATTTTTCAGACCTTCCTCAACCTACAGTGGAACAAGCAAGGTGCAAATGTGAAATAAGTCAAGACACAAGTAAACTTATATATGCTTAATTCCACTGGTCCACGTACCAAGAACAGAATGGTGAACATTGGCTTTCTCTTTGTCTTCCATAGAAGACACTTTTGATTTATTTCCACCATGTAAATCACTGCCCACTACTATGGTTCCAGCTTCTAGCCTTAAGAGAAAAAGAGGGATAAGTCTTTGAATTCTTGCATGTTCTTCTCTGGTTGAATTTAGTTTGGTTACTTTACAGCAGTTGCTCTCCTGAAACATTCTCTATAGGTCTGTTAGACATTGCTCCCCTCTGTAGGAAATCTGCTACGACCTGCAGGAGGATGAGATCAGTACCTAATTGGGTACATTCTGCAAAACTTTAGACACACACAAACTGTGAGAAGTTGTCCTGTCACTGAGAGCTGTGGGTATGGATCAGAGAGGAAGCTTCTTTCAGAGCTTGCTGCATATCACTGACTTGCAGTTTTAAGGGAATCATCATGATGGGCTGGTCTGAGAATGCCATACTGGTCTCCACACACACCTGAGATACACATCTTGTTCTCAGGAGCACCTGGTTCAGGGAGCCAAGCACTACCATAAAAGCACACACAGAAAAAGCAAAGAAGGGATAATTAAATCCAGAGGTACACTCACCTTGAGGAAGCTGCATAACTCCAGTGCTTACACCTGAGATAATGTCTCCTAATAAGTATTTCTTCACTGGGTAACGAGGAAGCCATTTTAAAATCGGTAAGAAACTGTAAAGATGAGACTTGGCTTTCTTAGAAGTACAACTGAAAATACAAAGCAGAAAGAAAGACACTAGCAGGAGACAAACAGGTTGAAAAAAATTGTCTTTCACTCTTAGCAGGAAAACAGCTTCATTAAAGGCAGGCTCAGGCTCCTGATGACATTTATTTCTGGACAAGCTTAAGCACAAACAACTATGCCTCCAGTTAATTTAGCACTTAATCACATGTTGGTGCCATTCACAAACTTTATGGAACTGGAGAAGAGAATGACAGTCTTGAGAGGCTGCAGGTCAGTGGGAAGTGAAACTGTTCCAGCCCATGCACAACTGAACAGTTACACAACACTTTTTGCTGAGATCATTCCCAGTAAAAATCCCCCAAGGATAACTTGCTTTCTGATAGTGGCTTTCACTCATCAGAGTACTTTGCAGTGCTTTCTCCCATTTACTATTTGCGTGCTTTATACTTGTTTGATTATAACATTTTAGATCATTATGCTTTAAAAAACCTGAATCTATTAATTTAACTAGTACTTGTTACTATTGCTGCTAGCACTGACAGGCTGCCTTTAAGGCTATTTGAGAACATAACCCTTTTTCCTCTGGAAAGGAAAGGTACTGAAGCTGTGGCTCTTAGCAGAGTTAGCAACCTTTTGAAACCCTGACTCGGGACAAATGAATAAAGCCAGGAAACAAATATCTGTATCCAGTACTGCTATGCATCATACTTACTGTGGTAAGTTTAACCTTGGGTAAAAACATAACACTGGATTGTACAAATGCTTTTCTGTCTTGGGGAATTGCAAGGGACTTGCAGAGATTTGTCAGCATTTCTAAATTCTCATGGGACTAAATTGCACAGTGAAGAAGCTTGTTGCTACAAGTGAGAGAGGAACTAGAGTCATCCACACTGCTCCATGGTTAAGCAACTGTATCACAAGAAGTCATGGGTCAGGAGCATTTTGATCCACATATTTGTTATTCAGGACAGATAAGTTTGAGCAACAAATTGAATAAACTCTGCAAATGAAGCATGGATAAACATAAAGCTAATGAGAACTTAACTAGAGCAAGTTTCACTATTCTCTGGTACCACGGAGCAAGAGAAATACAATTAAAGACATTTCATGTCTAACCAAATGATAGTTAAGACTCCAAGGCAATTAATTGAAAGCTACAGAATGCCTTTAGTAAGACCTTATTAGACTTATAATTTAGATTTCTACACAGCTGTCATACTTCAGCGTTCTTCTTCTGTGAAAGGCTCATGTGAAGCACAAATTTGGCTGTAAGTATTTCCACGTAAAAAGGACAGCTATTTCTCTGGGTCTTATGAATTCATGTCATGTGATTTGACCAATACTTCACATTCCTATGAGGCATATTTTCCCTTTGCACTTTGATGAAGCCAATTCAACTAATGTATCCAACATTTTCTAATATAGTTACGCATTAACATTAAAAGCACATATACAACAACTCCCTCACAGTTTTGCTGAATAATCAAAGTAGAATTAGTGTTTTTATCTTTTAGGTTTCTTTGAAGAGATTATCAGCTATGTGCATGCATCAATTAAGAATTAGAGTATTTCTAATCAATAAAATAAAGACAAAACCCTACCGACAAGAATGTGCAATCTTCTGCTTTAAAGTCTGAGGTGTTCTTTGTCGCCTGTGCAGCTGTCCTTGCAAGAGCTCTTGGTTATATATTGGTCTCTCTACACAATACCTCTGAGTTTGTTCAGGACATGCTTCATGTTCTTGAGCGTGTTCCATAGCTGATCTCACACAGCAGGAGTCAAGGAAGAACAGTTCCACAGACTTCACTGAAAAACCTGACTGAAGACAAAATTGAAGTTTGGTTGCTTTTTTAACATCAGATTTGGCATTTCCTTTCAAATAATGTATTTTGACAAGCTAGAGACAAGAACTGTGACTACAGTCTAACTGAATAGTCTGCAACAGCAGTAAGAAAATAAACCACGCGCAGTCTTTAGTATATGGAAGCCATTAATTTGTGCTTCTCTTGGGTAAAGAAAGTTTTGCATTCATTACTCTGTAAATAATAGCTGAAACAAAGTTGGAAGTTTGTATTCATGCTTACCTGGATTTTCCCTCAGTTTTTAAAGAATACATCACTGTTGGAGGGACATTATTGCTGAGTACTCACACACTGGCATATCCATCTCCAAAAGGCAGAACTCAGATTTTAACACTGAGAAACCCACTTCTTTCTTCCAGATAGTTCAGTTGCTTCCTGCATTCATCCACCTGTTTTTTCCTCAGTTTCAGAGGCTTCTTTTTCCAGAGAGCATCTCAAGGATGCACAATTCACTACTTTTGAACAATTATGATTTCAATGGATGTGCCACTTACTGCTGTTCTCAGTCTGCACCCATGAAAACAGGAATCAGTAGACGTGCACAATTTTAAAACTAGCCAGAAGGTTTGTAAAGACCTATTGGTCTGTCTGATTCAGTGCCATCAACATCTTAACATATTTAGGAGACACGCTGCTAATTCCTTTGCCCCGTGTTGGCTGCTTCTAGAAATACTGGGCAAGAAACATAACTCCAAATTATGAGCAAAATGACAGGGCTGCTGTATCGTTAAGCAGAGATGCTTGGCTAGTGCTACATTTGATGACAGAACGTGAGTACAACAGGAAACAGAGCCATAATCATGAACAAGGCCCTTGGGCTCAAGTCCAGCAAGTCACTTAAGCATGTGTTTGCCTTCACCCAAGGGAGCTCACCCAGGGGTGTTCAGTTTTTAGCTGTACATCAATACTTTCCTAGGAAAAGGTTACCATGCAGAAATTAAACAAATTGCTATCTAAACACTCAGACAAAGCTAACCATGATTGGTCCAATGTTCTGATTCAGCAAATACAGTCCGAGCAGCAGCAAAATATCGATATTGCTATCTAAGCCTGCAGACTGATGAAGCTGCTGGAATTTTCCACTCTTTCTGGTCTCTATCTCCTAGGACAGACACAGCATCTCTTCATTTTCCAGTATTATTTAAGCAACATTTTCCCTACACTGTCAGTCATAAAAGGATATTTTTACTAAAATTATAATTTTTTTTATTTACACCACAGTCTTTATTATGTGAAACATATAAAACTTGTTTTAGATATTGTAAGAACAATATCATATCAAGTACCCCTTTGTACTCCTGAGGCTTCTTTTACATCTTTCCACAGTTTCAGTTCATCAAGAAGCCTGAATGATATTTTGTGAATTACAGAATCACAGAATATACTAAAGTGGAAGGGACCTACAAGGATCAAGTCCACCTCTTAGCCCTACACAGGACCATCCCCAAGAATCACACTATGTGCCTGAGGGGATTGTCCAAACATTTCTTGAACTCAGGCTTGGTGCTGTGACCACTTCCATGGGGAGCCTGTTCCAGCACCCAATCACCCTCTGAGTGAAGAATCTTTTTCTACTATCCGACCTAAACCTCCCCTGACACAACTTCAGGCCATTCCCTTGTGTTCTGCCACTAGTCACCACAGAGAAGAGATCAGTGTCTGCCCCTCTTCTTCTCCTCAGGAGGAAGTTGTGGATTGTTTTTTTTGTGTTAGCAAATTGTAACTTTTAGAATTACAATTTTTTTTTCTTCCTACCTGTAGACTTAGATCCAGTCAACAGTAGAGTAGGATTGTTTTACCAGCAATTTCCATCCAAACCTCCCCCTGGCTTTTTTCTCACCTCCATATTATCACATTTTCATATTTACAGCAATGCTGTTCACACCAAGATGTATGTGTGGCCACTAACATATACAGCACTTTTCTTCCATGTCAGCGTCTACCTACCCACAAATAGCACTTCCTACTTCCCATCTTGCCCTGTCACAGACAATGTGCTATCCATGAATCCCGGTGTATTAGCTTCTGCCCAGTGATGCTGACACTTTAACCACTTTCGTGTCTGCTGGAAGGGCAGCACAGTGGAGTGGGGCACAGTCAACCCAGGAACCTTCTGGGGTGCAGTGATGTGCTTCCTGCCACGGGTGATGGAGGACCTGACATGAGATATGCTCTGTTGGGCATGATACTTATAAGCAGGGAAAAACTAGTCAGCAATGTGAAGTCTGAGAGCAGCCTTGTCTGCAGTGACCATGAGATGGTGGAGTTCAGAATCCTGAGAGAAACAACACATGCAGCAGGCTTATAATCCCAGACTTCAAGAGAGCAGAGTTTAGCCTGTTCAGGGACCTGCTTTAGAAGAATCCCATTGGATATAGTCCTGAAGAGAAGGCTCCTGGAGGACTGGCTGATTTTCAAGGATTACCTCTTCCAGGCTCAAGAATGGACCGTCCCAAGTAACATGAATTCAAGCAAGAATGGTAGGAGGCCTATGCAGATGAACAAGGAGCTCCTGACAAAACTCACAGATGAAAAAGAAGCATATGAGGTGGCAGCAAGGACAGATGATGCAGGAAGAATAGAGACACTTAAAGCATGCAGGGACAGGGTTAGGAAAGCAAAAATCCACCTGGAACTGAATCTGAAGGATACGAATAGAAACTAGAAGGGCTTCTACAGATATACCAGCAGCTAGAGAAAGTCTATAGAAAATTGGGCCCTCTCCTATAAAGGTGACAAAATACATGGTGAAAGATGAACTCTGCCTCATTCTTTACTGGTAAGGTCAGCCTCCAACAATCCCAGCCCCTGAGAGCAGTGATAAAGTCTGGAGCAAGGAGACATTCAATCAACGCAAAAGGATTGGGTAAGTGAACATTTAACAAAATGGGACATACACAAGTCCATGGGACCTGAAAGGACACACCCATGAGGAAGCTGGCCACTGCCTCTGCAAGGCCACTCTTGACTATTTTTGAAAAGGTCATGACAACTGGGGAGGTTCCTAAGGACTGGAAGAAAGCCAATGGCACTCTGAATTTCAAGACTGGTAAGAAAAAGGACCTAAGGAACTAGAGGCTGGTCAGCCTTATATTGATCTCTGGGAAGGTGATGAAACAAGTAACCCGGTAAACAAGTTTCAAATATGTTAAGGACCAGAAGATGATTGAGAGTAGTCAGCATGGATCTATGAAGGAAAAAGTCATGTCTCTTCAACTTGATAGCCTTTTACGATAAGATGACTTGTTTGGTAGAAAAGGGAACATCAGTGATATTCTTTATCTTCTGTTTTCCAAGGCTTTGTATGACTTAATTCTCCCATAGCATCCTCAAGGACAAGATGACGAAGTATGGGTTAGCTCAACAGACAGTGAGGTGGACAGAAACCTGGTTGAACTGCCAGGTTCAAAGGGTTATGATCAGCAGCAAGAAGTCCAGCTGGAGGTCCATCACTACTAGGGTATCTCAGGAGTTGATACCTTGGGCCAGTATCATTTAATATATTCATTAATGACCCAGATGATATGACAGATTACACCTTCAGCAAGCTTGTAGATGACACAAAACTGAAGAGAGCAGTGGATGTACCAGCTGGTTACACTGTCATGCAGAGAGGTACCTTGATGAGCTGGAGACATGAGCAGTGAAGTACAACATGAAGTACAACACAGGGAAGCACAAAGTCCTGCATTTGGGAGAAACTGCCCAATGAAACAGTAAATGCTGGGGAATCAATCATCTGGAAAGCGGCTGTGCAGGAAGAGACCTGTGGGTCCTGCTGGACAACAAATTTGAACATAAGCCAGCAATGTGTCCTTTTGGCAAAGGAGGACAGCAGTTGCCGTTTGCAGGGATAGCAGTAGGTTGGGGGGTGATTATTCCCCTCTCTGCAGCACGGGAGAGGCACACGTGGAGTGCTGGGTCAAGTTCTGGGCTCCCCAGTGCAGGAAAGACATGGGCATCCTGGAAAGGATGCAGCAAAGGGACACAAAGATGACTAAGAAATTGGAGCATCCAACATAGTAGGAGTGGCTGAGAAAGCTGGGATTGTTCAGCTTGGAGAGGTGAAGAGGGGATGGGGAAATCATATCAGTGGATATAAATACCTGGTACAGCAATGGGCACAAACTGAGATACAAAAAATTCAGTTTAAACACGAGGAAAAAAATTAGTGCAAGCATGACCAAACACTGGAACAGGTGTCCCACAGAGGTTGTGGAGTTTCCAACCTTGGAGATGTTCATAACATGACTGGACATGGTTTTGGGTGACCTGGACTAGGTGACTCTGCTTAAGCAGGGAGGTTGTAATCTATGATCTCCAGAGGTCCCTTCAAACCTCAACCACTCTATGATTCCACAATGGTCCCTTATATCATTATTCACATGGAATCTATCTTTTCTGGTAATTAATTGGTGTGTTCTGGCAACATTGGCCTTATTTACAGATGAAGAAACAATTTTAATCAGCCTTAAACAGGAAACCAACTCAAACAAATCAGAACAAATGAAAACTACAGCTGCATGCAAAAGACACAAACCAAATCAGTTCAGAGGCTTGTTTTTGGTCAAACTTCTCCAATAAAATAAGAATATAATATCTAAACGTTTCTAGTCAAGGTTTTAAAAACATGCACCCCGCCTTCTTTCTGCTCCAAGACACAGCAACATAAGACAGTGCCCTGCTAACCCCAGACAGGAAATTCAGGTCCTGAATTTCCACATTTGAGTTTGTTAAACTTCAAGGAGATCAGTTAATATTTGGAAGAGCCACATGAGTTTGTAATGTAAATCTAGACATGGAGAGGTCTTGAGATCTCCAGTTCTGTACAAATGCTTCAATTCTTCCAGGTACTATGAGCATATACAGAACAACAGTTTTGTCCTGCCTCTGTTTTTCATGGTAAAATAAATACAGGTGTATTTGACTAACTGAACAAAACTCAACTCTAAAGCAG